TGCGGGTGTGCAGTGTCGACACATGTGGATCTATGTTGCTAACATTATGTGTTAGTAGTCTGCCTCGTGGGAGATGCCCGGGTCTCCAATCGTTGTGAATTGCTGTGACCTTGGTTATCAATCATTGCATCAGGGTATCTAATGTAAACGCAACTGTGGCGTGGATAACATGCCACATCTGCTCTTTGGACGGGGCTGCTTCTTGGTTACCAAGCGATTTATTAGAGAGCCCTGTGTGAGGAATAATAGGTCGCAGTAAAAAATATCAACCGGCAGCTCCTCCATAGGCGTATACAATTATCTCCTAAACAGGCTGTTGTAACATTATCACTCACCTACATTATACAGCAGATACTTTCGTGTCCCCAAAAACATCCCAAAGAGAGAGAACTAGCTGCGCCGGGTTAAAAGCACCGTCTGCAGGGAGCTGTGTTTGCGCTCAAGACCAATTTATTGCCGATGAACATATGGCCAATATTTTTTCTCACGTCATAGCAAGGGGAAAACAAACACCATGCAATGTTAGCCAGTCAGCAAGAGCAGAGCCACTTGGCCAGCTATGCAAACGCTCTTGGACAATATGAGAAGAGAAGCACTTGCTTTCTGGGTATATAAACCACATCAGGCTTATCTCTGCATGCACTCCTGACTCCCATTTGGAGATATTTCATTAACTCTGCACGCTGTCTTAACGCTGGCAACACATTCAGGCCCCCTCCCGTCTAGGTAAGCGCACTGGATGCTCCACTCCGTTTGCATACAGTATTTATTTTCTGTTTTTACAGCCTAATAGAGGCTGCTTACTTTCTTTTGCTGCTATTTTATGCGCATCAGCGCACATCTTAGTCATTGAGTGTAGACAATCCAGCTCGTTTGGACTGTTTCATGCTTTTTCAGAGTGCGGGTCTGTGCGTTTGTTTTTTTTAGCCTACTGTAGTTGGTGAGCATTACGCACTCACGTGGTGGACAATATCGTTGAGACTGCACATGTGAGCGTGGCCTGCACCCTCATGTCCGAGCTCAATCAGGAGAATTGTTTGGAAAAGAAGAATTTTAAACTATGTTTAACCAAAAAAAATCAGATATGAGAAGATTCACATGGCTTCTTCAACAGCCAACCAAAACACAAATGATAGATAATAGCTTCCACAAATGGTGCGCTCACGAGGTTACACCATGCCTGATTTACTGAGGAACATCAGTGTATCTTAATGTAGGGTGGACATGGATGGGTGTGTTTGCCTCCATGGGAAGTATCAAACGTACGTTATATTATTTACATCATAACGTGTGTGATTCCACTGCATAGCCTATGTTCGTATTGACTAATATAAGTTGTCTAATTGGGTGCACACAATAAGCACCTCCTGTTGTTTCCCAAAGTTGCCGGTAGAGACCGCTAGAGCTCTACAGATGTCAACAGCTGTTAATGTTATTACTGCACTCACACAAAGACTTCCTAACAAGGAGGACAAGTTGTCTGTACTTGTGTCAGTAGATCAGGTTCTCCTGGAGAGGATGATTTATTCATTTGTTTATTTATTCATACAAATGCCCCACACAATACAACAAATAACAGTTGTCCCCTTTTTAATTCATCTGAAAAAGTCGAGCCAGTTTTCCCTCCTTCCTGCCAATGTCAGTGTGATATTGACATGGGAAGTGATTAAAAAATAATAAACCCCTTTTTAGCAATTCGTCTTACACAGAAAAAGATTACAACGAATGGCACAGCGTGGCATGAAATTCACCGTTACAAATAAACTGGTGGTTTAACAAATGAAGGCATCTCCTCGGGCCATGGGCGCACTGCTATAATCTCGCCGTGACATGTTTAATCATGAGAGGAAAGGAGACGAATAAAGACCTTTGCCCGGGAGGGAAAGGTGGCTGGATATTTGTAAGAAGACAAAAATAACCAAACGGGCTCCAAAATCATTTCTACCCTGAAGCCAAGTCTCCTCGGGCCATGGCTTAGCCCCCATAATAAATAAACCGGACCCGCGTTACCTGCATATCATATATAGGCTTTTAATCATAGAGGGAGAAAATCGGTGTTGTCACTCCGTACATTTATCATGGGCACCCTGAGGCAGAAGGGGTTACCTTTATCAAAGACTAACTCTCTGCCTGAGGCGCCCAAACACGCTGAAATTCAGCGATTAAAAGGAGGGAATGATCAACGTTATTATGGGTTCTCCTGCGGCATTCTTATTTGTGCATTCAATCGAAAGATTTATTTAATCAAGAATATAAAAAGCTCTTTCTTCACTTATTTGGGAACAATCGTGGGCATGAATTTTTAGGAGGGAATTATAATTAATCAGACGGGGCCCGTTTTTTGGGGTTCATCCGAAAAATTAATTGTTTTTGGATGAGTCCATTCTGCTGTACGTTTGATTACAAAGCTGGGATCAGGGAAAAAATGTAACAAGCTTTAATAATGAGCCAGTCAGCTCTGTTGCTTATAATATTAAAATGGGAGCACTGGCGAAACTGGTAATAGCATAATTATAGCAGCAATGAGCACATAAAAAGGTTAGTATTGCGCATGCTATTCACATACAGTTTTACGCACGAAGTCAGATGATATATTCTATTATAATGTATGGTTTTGGAGTCAGATCTGAAGATTTAGTGTCAGCTGAACTTAAATAAGCGGGTGATGGGAAGCCCCAGCCCTGCGCCCCGTATTGTCCTTTAAATCCTGATGCATCTGCAGCTCAGAGGCCCTTCTTTACTCCATCTTCTGTCTGGTTTAACACCCCCAACACACACACACAATTCGCAGCAGACACACAGTCGTATTGAGGATGATTTACCCACGGAGAGGGAAAAGCAGTGGAAACATATTTGCAACAATGTTTCAACTCTTAAGTTTGTTATAAACGGGATAGTTCATTTTTACGACCTAATAATTACAACAACAACACCAATAAAAGTGGTAGTGACAATGAAAATATGATGGAAAACTGAACGACATCTATAATGACAATAACAATACTAGTGTTTGCCATATTAATATTGTTAATAATAATTACTATTATAATAATGATACAATCTCCATCCTGTAAAAAAAGAAGAGGCTCAAAATCTGGCATTTATTTTTACACTAAATTAATTTGGAATAATTGTACGTAATTGCAGCCTGAACACCTCCTGCGCAGATTTACAGGACTGTAAACATTTTTCGGTGTCGTTCCCGTTAACTCGTCCCGCTCTGCACAAAACTGGCCAGTGTCGGAGTGAAAATGCAAGCGGCCTGTTTGAACTACCTGTGAAAGTAAACAGGTAAACACAGAGCGATAGGCTCTCCAAGTGGAGTACGTCCACTTAGCCTGTGCACATTTACCTCTTCTTGCCGAAACCCTCGGCTCAATTGATCAAATAGTGCATCCCCAGCAACTGGCCACAGTCTGCAGCCCAGTGCGCTCCCATGCGCCGTCACCAAACCTACTGTGACTTCCCCCTTGTCACTGTGCCACACGCAGCCACAGCGAAGCAGAATGGCTCGGGTGATAAGCCCGCATGCTCTAACACACCCTGATTTAGCTCCACACACTTTTGAGGCGCTAAATAAGTCTCAGTGAAATAATGTCCTGCGTGGGCCAAGTGAGTTCCTGATGAGATGTGGATGGAGGCTACAGCCCGGGCCATTCCTCCGTGGTGCGTAAAGCTCTCCGTGTGTCTGCTGCGGGCTGGATGTCCCCCTCACAAGTCGGATTTAGCTGAGCAGCATTACTTGGTGGATCAGGTCAGTAACCTCTCTCTCCCGTATAGAGGCTCAGGCGCTGCTCCAGTTTGTCCACATACCGTTCAGCTCAATGGAGCCTTTGTGGGATGTTGAGACTTGTGATTAATTCTGCCAGTCTGGTGAAATATTTACCTCAGGGCCTATATGTCAGGTGCACTACTATGAGGACCAAAAACCCTAGAAAGATTATTAATTATATAAAGCCATAGTGATTCTGCATAAAATTTCAATTTAGTTTTATCAATTTAATACTATTAATTTACTAATAATAGTGGGAAAACCATAATAATAATAAAACTAGTCATAATAATCATGACAATCATATTAATAATAACAACCATATAATAA